TGTCCAGGTTGAGATGCTCTTTCATTACCCTCCACTCTTCGGTTCTCCAGAAGGATGCCACTTCCGGCATGTGCTGAGGCGCTGCAGGCTGCTCCATCAAGAACCTGACCGTTGGCAGCAGCGCGGAATTCTTCTCCTGGGACAATCGTGCATCTCGACCCAGCTTTGCCACCACATAGAGCGTCACCATACGCAACAGCAGCACATCGTCCAAATGGCACTTTGCCCTCTCCACTTCATCCAACTCGTCCAAGCCCCAGGGTCTTCCCAACGATCTCGATGGCCCTGGTAGTCCCGTGACTGGATGATGTCGTAGTTCACTGCGGGTCCTGCAGTTGGGTCCACCGATCACCGCATCAATCCAACCCAACATTGCAATCCTCAGCAGTGCTGCATACATTGCATCGTCCTTTGACATGTCATGACCTTGGTTTCGAAGGATATCCACCTCCAACAATCTCGTAGTGTCTCCGCCCGCCTCCTTGAGAGCCCTGGTGAGATCGTAGCCCTCATTCTTCCCAGCGTAGAGATGAACCACGACACCCTCATTTTTCCAGCGCTTGCGGATGCGTCGATTGACTCCAAGGACCTCAAGATTCCTTGCTGGAGAGTCCACCAGGCGATCCTTGATTCGGATCGGGACCTTGTCGAAGATCGGACAATCTGCCACCACCCGGTCCAGCCAATCGACGTCATTGTGAGTCTCCCCAAATCGGTAGCACCTCAACGCCGTTCTCGACCGAGATTCCTCCAGCTCCCTGATGAGGTCCAACGCAACATCATGGTCCATTTGAGGGCATCCAGCTTCAACCCTAAGGTCAATGTTGCCCTTGACCGGATGCTCCGCACGCTTCCCCCATCCATTCGATTCGACGTCCCAAATCACGAACCAGCCTTCCCGCCGGTACAATCGGCTCCACGTTCTCACTGTTGTGGACCAGCGTCTCCCCTTCTGTCATTCGGATGTCTTGTGCTCCTCCGGCAGCCAACGTCACCCTCACCTGGCGATATCTCTGAAGATCTTCTCCTCGGAGCTTGGGCCTCAGAGCGTGCGTTGCCCCAGAATCCAGAAGTCCTTCTCGACCTTGTTGGACTCGAGCTATCTTGACTGCCCGTATCTCTGGGCCACCTTTCTCCCATGCTCGATTCAGCTTCTTCACGTCGCACCAAGGTCCGTTGCACGATCTTGCCCTTCTTCTTCGAGGTTCATGCCCTTGAGCAACTTGTGCGCCTCATCAAGCACATTCTTGATCGGGTCTGCAGGTCTTGTCGCTGCATCCGATACCGCCTCCGAAGTCACCGACTGCGAGGATGCTGCTTGAGGAGAAATTGAAGCCCCCGACTCACTCCGCGAGGTCCCATTTCCACCACCACCGGTTTTGTCCAGCAGCTTCTGAAGCTTCGGTTTCTGGCCAGATGGAGGTCCTTCTCCCTTCTTTGCCGTCTCTTTCCTCGGACAGTCTCGAGCCAGGTGTTGTGTGGCCCCGCACGTAAAGCACCTTCTCTCCTGGTTCTGCTTGTCGCCAGTCTCCAGTTGATGTGCCCATTTGCACGACTGCCCTCTTCGACATCCAGACTCCGTGAGGAAATATCGACAAGGACCCTTCGCCGATGTCGTTGGCGAGTCCCCCTTCTTCTCTCGATCTTCCCCTTGTAGTGCCTTTACTGCCAATGGTCCACCTCCCTGATTTCCAGGTCTCGTAGTGCTCGAAGACGGTCGGACTCGGTGCATGAGTTGTTCAAGTTCAGCGAGTAAATGCTCAGCATACGTCCGAACAGTCTCCTCATTGGGGATGGTATCAAGCTGCAAGGTGTTTTTGACCAAGGCACATCTGAATTGCAGATCCGGTTGTTGAGTGAGGATCCGCTTGCTGAGTTTGTTGATGCCCTTCATGAGGATGATCGCATCAGGGAGATTCAGGCCAATGTCGGTGGCCCTCCTGAGCCAGCGCATCCAGCGTCGGAGCCCCATGCAGGCTTCGCTTGGCGACCCTGCTTCTGGCGGATCTTCAAGTTGCCGCAGGATGATGGTGCGCTCATGAGCACCACCTGGTTGATAGAGGACCATGAGTTTGCTCACCAGCCCCAGCGGTGACAAAGTCCTCGTTGCTACCAGTTCCTCCTTCACTGTTGTGGGAACTGAAGAAAGCAGCATGCTGATGGCCCTCTTTTCCACTCGAGCCCACTTCGGCTTTTGCAACTCAGCAGACGGCTCGATCTTGGATGATGCCCGCTGAATTGGACGAAGCTTGATGTACTGTTTGTACCAAGCCCTTGCTTCGCTCACCACCAACTCCCACCACTCGCCTGACGAGTCGCTAAGGTCTGTCATAGCCGGCTCCACCATAGTGAGCCAGTCAGCAAGGTCGATGGGAGCCGTATCGGATGGCTCTGCCAGGACTGGGAGTGTGGCCGTCCCCGGCTTGACCGACTCCGGTCCTTCTTGCTTCTTGTCCTTGTCGACCAGGTAGGTGATCAGCATAGACATCGCATCAGCCATGCCACCACCGTGCTCTCTTGATGGTTCCTCCCGAACATTTGCAGTTGAAGATCGACCAGGCTGCTCGGCTGTGGCTTTCTTCTTTGGCTGACCCACGCCTTTCCCGGTCCCTTGTCTCCCTTCCGGTTCGAAGCCCTTCGCCCGAGATGCCACCAAGCCCTCAGGTTGACCTCCTCCCTGACGTGCAGTTCTCGGACCTTGAGATCTCGACCTCTCTCGTTGTCCTTGCCCCCGACCACCTCGCTTTGCTGGCGCCGGAGTGACCGTCCCCATCAAGGATTGGAGCTGCTCGAACTGTTGCATGGGAGTCAACTCATACAGCCGGCGTCTTTCCACCTCCAAATCTGTCTCTCTCGGAGGCTCGTCGACCGTCAATTCCAGCTGACGATTCACAGGCTCATCGCTTTCTGGCGTTCTGAAAGCCTGCTGCTCCAGCTCACGTTGTAGGTCATGGACTTTGGCTTCCAGGCTTGCCCTCTGGTACTTCATGGCGTCCATGAGCTCTGCCCGCTGAATCTGCAGTTGTTGATTCTCCTGTTTCAACATCGCCAACATGGTCATCATCTCCTGTGGATTCGGCGGACCAGGGCCATAGGGATGTAGCTGAACTTGCCATCCTCCTTGATGCGGCATAGGTCCCCTCCTCTCTTCATGGGGCATGATGTACCCAGGTGGGCCAGTTTGTCCAAAGCCTCTCGGAACATGTAGACCTCTTCCTCCAGGCCCGTTCCCTTGGATCTGAACCACCGATTGCTCTCTAGGTTGGGGAGGTTGTCGCCCATCGCTGTCACTTTCAGGCTCTTGTACTTCAGGTACCCGTGGTTCTCTTGTTCGTCCACGTCGCTGGTCATCTGGTACATGATCGCCCACCAGTGCCGGTGATGGTGTCCCCGTCGTCGTGCTCGTCTGCGGAAGCACTCCCACTGAACCTTCTTCTTTCGGCAGGAACGTGGGTCTCTCTTTCTGCACCTCCTCTGGCGACCTGTTTCCCATTCCAGGCTGCCAAATGCTCTGCCTCGGGACTTGAGCATACAAGTGAGGAGCTTGGCTCTGCACTTCATGAAGTCCCTTCAGCTGTTCCGGCGTGAAGAGTGGGGTCATCGGTGTCAACGTGGTCGGCGGTCCCTTCGGACCTTCCATCTTCTCTTCCCCTTCTTCTTCACCATCTTCCAACGCCAGCTGCTCCTCTTCTAGCTGCCGCTCTTGTAGATGAAGGCCTCCCTGATCATCAGGGTCTTCTTCTCCACCTTCGCCTGGAGCTTGCCGGCGGCGCCTCGCCATCATGGCCATGGCTGCGGAGAGCGAAGGGCCGCCTTCCCCTTGCCGGAAGGTCTTACACCTGCGACTTTGGGCTCATAACCTGCAAGGTTCAACGCTCCTATTTTCGAGCATAAAAGCGGCTGTCGAGTGTACACTTCTCGTTTTGTGCGTGTCATCCTTTGCGGACCAGCAGTTTTAATTGTTTTTGCTTGTTTTTGCAAAGCCCTCATTCTCAAGCTTGGTCTTGGAAGGCTAGGCTTTGGTTGCTCTTCCAGGAGGTCAGGACACACCCGTGAGAAGAATTGAGAAGATATAAGAAGTCTTCACCTTGAGGCCGAACACCCATTCTTGTAGCTCCTTTTGTGGACAAAGCTGATAGAGACCTGGTCGGGGCCAACGGAGAGGCACCGAACCTTCGTTTTTCATCCAACAAGCCTTCTGAGTGACACCTCTCACATGAGGGGTTGGTTCTGAATGGTTTGAAGGTTGAGCGTTTGGGATGTTTGCAACGCGGGTTCAACCATTTGGGATCTCTCTTGGACCAGAAATGACCCTCCTTTGTGCAGCTGGGTGGACCGATTGCAGCTGGGTGGGCCGATCGAACAGAAGAGACACGGTGGACCGATATTGCGGCTGGGTGGACCGATCGAACAGAAGAGACACGGTGCGCCGAACAGATTGTTGGACGCAGCAGAGCAGGACACAGATCCGATGTATATTCAATAGATTTCCATCATTCACCCCACTTCCTCTTTCAATCTGACTTCTGTTCGCAGGTGTTACTGCTCTTCCACTCCTGCTCAGTTGCAGCATTCATGCGCCAACGAAGCAGAGTTCGATCTGGAAGAACCCGACGGCCCGAATCCTTGGCGAACTTGTTCGATCTGGAAAAAAGTCTAGGTACGGTGCGTTGGCAAGCCGGCTTACCCGTTGCACCGGTGGCCACGTTGGCCGGTCCGTCCGGTCCTTCACACCCGAGCGAGCGCAGGTTTTGGGCGCCCATGACCTGAGTTCAGACCTTCTCTACCAAAAGCAACACTACCGCCGTCAACTCTGGCTGGAAAGCTGCTGTGGCTCTTTCTTCAAGATCTCGAGGTGCTTAATGAAGTCTGGGGGTCGCAGCGTGTGTCCGTGCTGCGGCACTTCTGCGAGCAGCCTGCTTCCCTCCACGTTCACAAGTCGTAGCTCGTCGTGCATGGCGTGGCTCCCACCATTTTGTCAGTGAGTCCGTGCAGCCAAGGGCGTACACCAAGAACTTCATGACAATGGTGCAGTTTGAGAACCTTGGCATGAAATACTTCCAGCAGTGATACAAACGCAAGATGCAATTTTTTGTTAAGGCCTGTCAGGCTGACATTTTAGAGTGCATTTTGATGCCACATGGACATCCTTCGCGCTTGGAAATTCACTTCGTACAGGTTCCCTGGTGAATACTTGTAATGACCGTAGATCGCGGCAACCAAATTCAGTTGGCAGTGCTCAACCCACCCCTTTTGGTCAAGGTGTGTTAGCGTATCCTTGGAGCCCTGGGCCCTGATCCCATCCAATTTTTGAACATGTGTTTGTCCTGGTTTCAACCACCTTTGACTGTGACATGTTGAGCAAAATCATGGCCCACATCACAGCGACTTCTGTGACTGCATCTCCTGGTGTTGTTGTGGTATTTGTGGCTAACCGCGTTTTATGCTGTGGGTTTTCTGAACCAATCGTTATTGTTATGCCAATGGAATCCTTTCCGCGGGAATCGCACACTTATTGTTTTTCAATTTTTAGCAGTTATATCCAGTTTTTTCTTTTTTTTCCGTTTAAGCGCATGTTTTTGCCACTAAACCCTGGAATGTGAATTTCCTTGGAGTTGTAACGGCTGAATCAAGAAATCAATCTACGCATGAATTAAGGCATTCATTTCATTTAGTATAAATCACACAAACAATGTAATATAAATTACGATTGTTTTCCAACAAAGTATGTATATAAATATTGCAAACATGACGATTGTTTTCCGAAAACAAAAGAACACAAAACCTGGATTTGCAACAAAAATGCGAGAACAAAAGGTTTAGGTATCATTAAACTAATGCACCATGGACAACCAATGTACTGGCAAAGCTTCAACATGTTTTAGTTTCCAGCAATGTGAGGGGAAAACCGTGTCTAAACACGAACCCAGAAGGGGATGCCCAAAACAGGCATTGTGCAGTCCACATTTATATGTGTTGTCAGCCTGGTTCACAGCAAGGACCTAAGAAATGTTTGGGAGAGACCATTGCCGTTGCCATGAAAATGTGTGAAAGTGCATGTTCGTTCTTGCAATATGAAAGAAAAGTGGACACACATTGGAAGATATTGCAAGTATATAGTGTATTATTTCATTATATTCCTGTCAGCCCCAGATGTTTTTCAGAATCGATGTTGAAAAAACAATGTTTTTTGAATCCAACTGTTTGTTTTGCCTGAGGATCTTGGGAATTCTCTTGATCACCATGGTCATGGCCATGGCCTCTTGGCAGATTAGTAGGGAGAAGGGCAAGGGGGTGTGCAATACATTGGACAACATGGACTACTTTAAGTTTTGTGAATATCCGACCCTGATTACAAAACAGGTCGCATCGACTCATTCTTCGTGGCTTCCACACAGAAATGAACAGATGCTCGACAGCCCAGAGATGTTTCGGAGTGAAGGTGCCGGCGAAGTGCAGTGCAGTGCTCGACCCGCAGAGGGGTGACAGCAAAATCCAGAGTTCATGAGACATGGACTCAGTCTACTAGCCGAACTCTGCAGAGTGGATTCATGTGCATTCTTGGAAATTAAAATGACACATTTCAATATAGAGAAGTAAGTTAAGTATATGGAAACCATCCCAAGAGTTTACCCCATGTTGCAGCAATCGCAAAGGTGATTGTGGAGTTAAGAAGTAGTTAAAGGATTTACTGGACCAAATTGGCCCTCCCTGTTTCTTCAAGCGGATTTCAGTGGACACCCCCAACAGAGCGCCAATACATCATGCGCGCTTTCGTTGCGAACTCATTCGGCGACCTCTTCGGCGACGTCAATCTCCTTTCACTTCGCGCGCGCGTTTGTGTGCGCGCCGCGACCGACGATTCGACGATCGACAGGAAGCCATTCGACTCATCGGTTCACTTCGGCGCCTCAACGACCAAACGACCAAACGACCCAAAGGAGTCGTGGATTCGGTGAGGTGATTTCCAGAGTTTTATCCAACATGGAGAGGAAGTTCTCTGGATCCCAGGCGCGCGGCGGTCTCGTCTTGTTGTGGGTTGTGCGCGCCCCCACGGGCGGGGGAAACGAGTCACTGATCAAGGCCGGGTGCAACGGCTGGGAAGCGAGGTTGAGGTTGACTCCAGGTCCCATTCTCGCTGCCAAAGCTTTTCCAAGGCTTAGGTCATGCCAACCGGGGGATGATCGAGCGGATCGAGCCATAACATGCCATAGCCCCACATGCTTGGAGTAAAACGGAAGAAGACTTTGACGTCCAATGGATTTGGGGGGTCAATAGCGGTACCCTATGGTAACCCGTTGCAAGATGTATTCCTTTCCACCATGGTTTGTAGGGCACAAAGTTTCCAGAATGAAGCGTGATCCCCAGTGGTAGAAACATGTAGAAACACCAAAGTTTGGTCAAAGCACGCTTCGGCGTGTTCTTGTGGTTTCTTTCTTGTATTCAAGTGTTGCATCCAAGAGTTCACAGACACGAGTTCACTAAACCTCCATCATCCAGGAGTTCCTATATTGAGCCCTTTAGACGCATCGCATGGGCCGCTCAATACCCAATCCGATCTTTCCGCGTTCCACGCGCTGGGATGGGCAGCAGCGAACGCGTTCCCGCAAACGCGCTGCCATCAGCGGGAGGTCCTGGCTTTGTCCTTCCTTCCTGGATGGTTTCTAGCCTGTCTTGCACCTCGGCGAAAAGTGGATTCCTAGCAGCGGATCTTCTCTTTCCCGCCAAGGCTTCTTAGGCTCGGCTTCGACGGAATTCGTTGAGTGAGATGTTCCAACCAACCGAGTGCTTCGATCGGGGTGGCCTACCCGGGCAGGTGCGTAGGGCAGGTGCCGGGCAGGTGCCCACGGGCCAGACACGACATCATCCTGGGGGTCGAAATTAAGACACTCCGAGGTTCTCAAACCTCCCGGTAACTGGTCATTGCATACCTTTGGGCTTCTCTTGTGGCTCAAGTGTGCCCAGGACCGCCGGTCCTTTGGACAGGTTCACGGGTGGCTACGATGAGGACGGTATTTGAGTGGTTGGAACGTTGGACGATCGAGTCGACTTCCATATACATCGCAACCTGTACAAGAGCGAGTCTCATCCACTGGAAGGCCTTTGACGAGATTCTTGCAAGGAACATTCTGCAGATTGCTCTTGCGGATTGGGCATATACTAGTAGGCTATATATTATTAAAGACAGTGACAGTGCGTGATGACTATGACCCGACTGGCTCGATGACACGTTCATGGGTCCGGCATGAAGAGTCAACATGGTTGCGGTGATGAACCCTTCTTTTCTACAGGCTTGGTCTCGTAAGAACACTCAAAGTAACCTGACCTGGCCACATGTCTGGGTTTATTGAATCTTCTGCGGTCCAGTTCCAATCTCAAACGGCTCAATCCCGCCTGATGCCGCTCTAAACTATCATCCCCACAGTGACTGCTTTTGCCACCACATCACCTCTCTCTTCCAAGTTCTGCCCACCTCCTTCAACAAAGGAAGAAAAAACACCCAAACTCAGCACGTTCCGATGGTCCAAGCCTCCTTCACATCGCGCCCGGCACTCAGGCCTTGGCTCTGCAGGCCTTTGTGCGTTCGGAGCAGGCGCCCCTGGAGATGATTAGCGCGATCTGCACCTGGGACCGATGGAAACGGCTTATGCAAGACGTGGAGGGCAGTGGAGGCGCGCAGGCCATGAGATGGGGTGTTTTCTCTTTTTTGAGGATTGGGGTTGTGATGCTTGTGATGGTTATGATGTGGGGTTGTGATTCTGCTCGCGTGGTCGACCAAGTTGAATATCCCTCGCCGGAGGGAGAACAGACCGGTGGGAACCAAAGTCCGGGAGTGACAGATGATCATTCCGGGAAATCCAGTCGATTGACAGGCTCTGGGATTCATCCTTTAGAAAAAGACGACTATGGATCAACAATGATCAACATATCCTTCCAAGCTCATCCAAATGAAGATCTCAGTTTGCGGGATGTTTACTTTGGGATTCCGAATTCCACAACACATTTGGAAGACATCCATCTCCTTCGCCCAGTTTTTTTCAGCCAAGTACTCCATCAGCCTTGTCTGCCGTACGCTCTGTAGAAGCGTACCCGCTTCGACCCGCCACACCGGCGGTGGGTCGATTCCTCTTCCAAGAGAGTTCACAAAGAAACACCAAGAGAGGTTATAAGCCGTGACCTGAACTGAGACCTGTCTTACTGGAGTACCGAACTGGGATAGGCTATAGTAGTTCGGGTCCTTCAACCCACCTCTGTTGGCATGGGTGAAATCCAGCCTTGGCAGGTGGATCGAATCCATGAGTGGCTCCAGTGTCGTTAGACGTCCAGGACGTCAGAACGACAGCATGCCCCAACGATGCCTCAACAACGACCATGACATGCTGCACCTTCCGCCTCAAACTCGCTTTGTTTGGGCGGAAGGAGACGGACTGCCTGACGTGGACGTTCAGCCGAGGCGTCTCAGCAGTATTGCTTGGGATCCTCTTTCTGGACGCGGGATCGGAGAGCCCAGTTCCACCGGCAGAAACAACGGAGAGCACATCGTTTCAACGGCAGTCGCCACCTCGTCGCGACGGTCGTCGCCACGTGAGAAGACAACGACATTCGCAACGGGACCGTTCGGATGAGAAACGTCGCGTTTACGCCTGAAGGCTCAGAGACGAGACGCGGATGAATCAAGATGTGTTTTGGAAAGACCCAGTCTAGTAGGGATGAGTCTTCCAGATTGCTCATACCCAAGAGGGGTGGAGTGGTTGACTTACTGTAAGCAGATGTTTTTTTGGTGTTGCAAAGATGTGTTAAACAACATGCGCTTAAATTAGGATGACATAGCATGGTCGTGTGATGATAATGTCTAATCTAACACGATAGTGTATGAGAATGTGTAGATGAGCGTGACTGTGATCGTTTGTTTGCCACCCACATCCAACAGTGCATGTTGGAAGTTGATCGGAGATGTGCATGTTGGGAGCCCGGGTTCGAGAATGGATGGGTGTTTCACGTCTCCAAGCAGTTAACAGGTGTTTTTTGTGGAAGCTGGCTCAGTAGATCTATGAGGAAGATAACAACACTATATATAGTCACATATAGTCACTATATATATATATATATACAACTCTCGCTATAGCGTGTATATATATAATATACAACTTAACCCATCTTGGGCTTCATTAAAACCCTCTTAAACGGTGCATCGGTTTTCTCACCAACTCGCCTGTTCGGCGAGTGCGCCCCATCCTGCCGCGGTGCGGACGAGGGAAGTTGATGGTGCGGTGTGATCCGGATGACTTTATGCACCTTGGATCTGGAAGAACGACATGAACCGGGCAAGATCTTCACACACCTGGGATCTTCCAACGAGGTGAAATACTAGTCTGCCTAAGTTGACATCTATTAAACCAGCCAAGTTATGGCAGACATGTTGCATAGTTGGAAGATCCAGGTGTGTTTTTATATACCTTCTCAGACGGACTCAGACGTGCAGGGTGGGCATGGGGAAGGATGGGTGCAGCTCCTTTCGTTGATTGCGGTGCAGCTAGAGGCGCCGGGTTGAACGCTGGCGATGCTGAAATCAGGAAGAGTGGCAGGGGGGAAAGGGTCGGGAAAGTGGAGGATTGTCGGTTAACAGGCAGTTGATTCCATGATGAACCTTGAAGAAAGAAGAACACATAAGAACACATTACAGTTACCATGATTAGTGAAGAATCATATATATATATATTATGTATATATTAGTAGATCATGCTAACTAAGTAGTAATGTGAATACATCTGATTAATATATCATGATCATTCACAACCCAGATGGACATTCCCGAACGCGTCCTCCAGGTCTTCGTTTCCGTCCTCCCATCCGAACACGACACCCCCCCCCCCTGGTGAACTGGGAACACAACACGAAAGCGCGGGCGGTGACAAGGGCGGCAGACATGGAGACATGACCAGGGGCGGCGGATGGCATCGCAGTGACACCGGAGGAGGAGGAGGAGGAGGAAACTCCTCATGGTGTGCCATCCCCCGAAGATTTCCAAGTCAGTATCAGACCATGAAGCATAGACAAGCTATGACAAGCTTAAACTTTTGCATGAGTTGGATCCCCCATTCATGGGTCAATTTCAGTATCTTTCAGCCAGCTAGTGAATTCCCCATGTCCAGCTATAGCCATAGCCAACTCAGGCCCATCCATGCCCCAAAATAAGCGGTCCAATGAAAGACCGTCTCAAACTTCATATCACCATCCATACACGGTGCTTGCATCTTTGTTCACATGGTGTTTCCTCTTTTTGGGCGGTTTTCTAGGATTTTCGACATTAAACATCATCAACGGTGGTTTTACCATGTTTTACCTATATAGCTATTTCATGCTGTTTCATAGTCTAGTCCGTCCGCTCATGCTCGTGCTTTGCCTGTTTGGGCTCCTGTCCCATCTCCTCAGGTTCGGTGGGAACAGACCCGCCTGGCACCCACCCCTGGCCCATCTTCGAAACAGAGGTAGGAAGCCCCCAAGAGGTGGTTAGACCCCTCAAACCCACCCCTGGCCCATCTTCGAAACAGAGGTATGAAGCCCCCAAGAGGTGGTTAGACCCCTCAAACCCACCCCTGGCCCATCTTCGAAACGGAGGTAGGCCAGGAGCCCTAGTGTTGATACACGATGTCTTGCAGGAGCAGACAGTCACATCGCTTCTCGCCGCGTCTCAGCTCCCCCCCGCGGTGAGTGGATGATGACTAGCATGGCACGGCATAGGACCATGGCTTTGTCATGCGCACCTACTCTCCACAGAAGCAGAAGTATAGCATTGATGGTTTCTGTGTGGGAGCTTGGTGCTATTGCTGAGGCGTGTGGTCATCTCCATGAATGCCACAATCATGGTGGTAGCCGCTGGGTCAGAAGCGCATTGATCATTCCGCGTTGAGTGCGTCGAAGTTCCGTGCGGCGAAGTTCCGTGGGTTGATCATTCGACGTGACTCAGACATGTGCTGAAAACATCATCAGGAATCAGATTGAGATGTTTGGCAGTGTGAGGCTTGTACAATTGAGCTTGATTCAATGTCAGGGTTACCGCTGGCTTTATGGCATTGAGTCTCCCACAGCCGTCTCGACAGAAGTAGTTGTGTTCCGTTGCACATGTGTGTAGGTTGTTCAGCAAAGGCCTGCAAACAGCTGAGTGGTCACAATTCTGAGAACAAAAGAACCAAAAAGAACCAAACACAAATGATCTATGAAATACAAGTTCAACAAATGGTGGCTTAGGATGCGGAGGGTAAACTGAGTTCCGCTTTTTGCAGAAGAGCATGAGTCACACAAAGTCGCCGAAACCGAATGCATGACTTTGGCTTTAGGCGCCGACAAGACAGGAGTGCAATGGCGGTGCGAGTCCCCTGCGTGTTTGTCCTTGCTTTCGTTTCCCCCCTTCGCAGGTCTCTTCTAAGTTTCTTTGAGCATCTATAAAGCCGTAGAATCAGAACAAAGTCATATTCAGAAACTGCGCTGCATTCAGAAACTAGTCTTCAGAAGCTACTTCGCCGAATTCAGAAACTATTTCGTTGTATTCAGAAACTGTTTTCGTTGTATTCCGACACGTCTATCGTTGTATTCGGAAACGATTGCCGTTGTATTCAGAAACTACTTTCAAATTCAAGAACTATGTTCCTCGTATTCTGTAAAATTTGTGGGGTCCCAGGGCGGGGCTTCCTACACATAGGTGGGTAGTTGCGTGGAAAGTTGATGATCTGGATGAAGGGGTGGTGGTGGTGTTAAAATTGTACTGTCATGGAGGCCGAGAAGAGGCACGGGTAGAACCTGAAAAGACAAACGTGTATACAGCAGTAAGTTATAATAGTACTTTCACTACTTACTACTGAGCTTGTCAGTTTCCGCGGTGCAAAGAAGTCAATTTCCTGTTGTTTTGCTATGTTTCCATGTAATGGTAATTTGTGAGAACCCCATCCCAAAGCCAATGAGCCGTCCCACATATTGACACATGAGTCCTTATTGCAGATGGGGGGCTCAAGAGGAGCAAGGGACAAAGGGTGCCCACAGTACTTACGTGCAATGCTGAAGGGCATCATGTGGGGCGTTGTTTTCATGTGACCCACAACGCAAGAAGCTCCTCCCACCACATTAAGCCGACAGCGGGCCGCTCTGTCCATTTGTGAGCTATTGATGCGAATGCCCACAGTTGACAGCGTTGTTGAGACTGAGCGGAGTCAGGAATTGGCCGAAAACGCTGCGTTCTTACATGGACCACTCAGGGCAGGGCGTGAGTCCAGTGACTGCAGACAGCTGGACTAAGCAGATGAAAAGCAACGTGGACGCTTGGCGACCCGCCAGGCATGTTTTAAACCCGCGACGCCATCAAGAACCGAAGCGGAAGCAACGGAAGTTGGAGCATGCGTGGCCACAGGGCTCTTGATGTTATTGGAGTGAGTGCCAAGAAAGGGTTAGCTGGATCACGTGCGGTCAGACACGTGGTTGAAAACCGTTCAAGACAACAACAACTCCTTCAACAGTCTCCACAGATCTTGACCGCATGAAAGCAAGCGGAGCAGAGATTTTGGTGTACCGGAGGTGTGATTTTCTTCTGGGTCTATGAATATATGAATAGTCCTGGTGTTGCTCTTCGTGGTTTCCGAGCATTAGTGTCCGAAAACAACCGTACCAGTTTCCGAATACGGTTTTGTAGCTTCCGAACACCAGTTTCCGAATACAACCGTTCAGTTATCGAACGCAACCGTCCCAGTTTCCGAATACAACCGGATAGTTTCCGAATGCAGGCGTTCAGTGTCCGAATACAGCCGTGACCGTAGAATCATGTCGAATCCACCCAGGTCAGTATCCCCTTCTTCTTCTTAGCCTTCTGCATGTTGCGCTTGGATCAGCAGCAGGAGATGTCCGCACAGACTGACCAAATTTTTGACGTTCTGCGTATTTTAAGACGCTTTTTTTTGTGCCCGCGTTGTGGTGGTGAGAAGTTTTGGAAAGACATAGAAATTGTTAAAGAAACCCACCCGACTGTGGGTCAGGGTGGTGATAGGACAGTTCATATGTTCCCTATGAAACCCATGAGCTGACTCCCTAACTAGACTAGAACCCCAATTGTGTGGACCATTTCTAGATCAAACTGACCTTTTTTCAAGTCACCCACTTCGCAGAACATCAACGAGCATCGAGTCCTGCAGGTCCAAATTGGTCAAACCAACAACTGGTGTTGAGTTGTCCGAAATGGACGTGCAGGGTGGTCATCATGGCCATCAAGAAAAAAACACCATGGCCATGGCATATCAAACCTTTAAAATTACGTACCTCTGATATGTTTGATTACGTCTCTTTGAATATATATATATATTATTTGATTTCAACATCACTTCAACCTTGACTTGGGATGATTCATGATGATTCACAAGTAAAAGCCATGACACCAAACCCGCAAAGAACACAGGGAGAAACCCTTCCAAATATTTCCAAACCACCGTCACACCCGAGGTCCCCCCTTCGGCATCCGGCAGGACGAGCTGCCCGCGGCTCCCACCACCTTAGCCGACCCACCCGAGCTGACCAACCGCGTGGGCGCGGCGGAACTCCGCGTCGCGGGCTACTGAGGATCGAGGGCGGACCGAGTCCGGTGATGGTGATGGATGTTTTGGAGGTGGATCATGGTTGATCCAGGTGGTTTTGTTGCGAAGTGGTGGCACATCTGCTGATTGAGGCTGAAAACTGAGGTCAATCAGCTCAACAGACAATACTCCGACATGTCATTATGCTGGTTTGCCGATTGGCTGATTTGTCCACATCCATGAATGGCAGTTTACTGTTTGCCCCAATTGAAATTATATGAAATTATATATGCCATGTTTGAAGGCCACGAGTCATTTATTAGCCTTCAAAGAACATGACAAGACTGGTTGTTTCATCACCACCTCCGAATTCCTCAAGCAAAGGCCGCGCAGGCAGGCCAGCGAAGAAACCGCTAAGGCCACAGGCGGCTTTTGCCCGGAACCAGGCACCTCGTCGGCCGCCTGGCGAAAGTAAAGGTTTAGAACGTTCAACCTGGGAAATCCTCCATGACTCGTGACTCGACGACATCGGCGCGGGTGCACTACGAATCTGATTGGAGCTATGTCAGGGGTTGGATCCTAAGAATGACACGATCTTGGAGGATCCTAAGGAAGGTCAGTCTAGGTCGGGTGTGAGTGGCAGTGGATCAAACCGCCGCCGGGGTCGTTCAAGAGCCCCGGCAGTGCCGCGGCGTCCACGCCCACTCCCTCCGCCGTCCACTGGCCGCGGTCGGAACCACCGGGTTTGAAACATCAATGTCGACGCCTATAGGTGTCGGACATGCCGTTGGTTCTTGGAACCAAACCTTCGAGAATGGCTCAAAAAGAGAGCTTTGGATTTGGAAGCCGACATTCCATGACATTCCTACTTCTGTCGATTTGGAGGGAGGGTTATATAATATGCACACGTCTCAACTTTAGAATCAAGCCTTGTGTTAGATTCGACACCTTTCTTTGACAATCTTCATCCCACGTGCAATTTGCAGACACAATTACTAAACCACAACTTCGGCCCATGTTTGGCCAATAGCGGGTGTTCGGGTCCCAGATCGAAGGACGTCTCTCTTCCGCGAAAGCACTCGTCTTTTCCTTTTTTGAGCCACTTGGCCAGTGCAGACGCCTTTTTAACCCTGTCATCGCATGCTAAACTCTGAGTCCTCTGCTGTCCGCAGAGAACGAATTCGCCGGCCACTTCTGCTGGCGGTCGACCCATCATCCTCGCCACGCTAGGACCGGTCTCCACAGTAGAGGCCGAAGGGACTTCTGGCGAGATGATGCGAGATGTACCGATGCATAAAGACTATACAGCTGGCCACCCAGGCCCCTTTGCACAAGTGTTTCATCCGTCCACTTTGAACTGGTGAGTTTGGGAGTTGTGCGGAAGAGGGTGATGTGAACCTGGAATTTCAAGGGATGAAGTGACTGCTACTGCTACTGGGACCGCTTTTCCATCTTGAGTTGAGAGTTGATCACGACGTTCTTGAACAAAAAGGTGCAAGCGCCAGGAAGTACGAAGTGCAAAGAATAACGCTATTTATTTCAGATGTTGCTATCGGCCGATGCCTCATACTGATGCCCACCAGTAGCTCCAAGTTGAAGCACCGGAGCGTTTTGGCGGATCGCTATGAGTCATGGTTCAACGTCAACGTCGAAACACCCGCGGCACCTGGCATGTGCCCAGGCCCAAGGACCTCTACTACTACTAGTCTTTCGACCCGAAAGACAGCCATAGGGAGCCAGTTCGAGTACCCGAAAGTGGCTTGATCAAAAGAGCCTACAATAACCATCGACAACCTGTTTGACCTCTGGACCACCAACCACCCCAACATATGGTCGAATATGGCTCAAACTTCCGATCAAAACAGTGCGAAGACACCTGACAGGCGAAGACGACCGCACGGCCGGCGAGCGCACAGGGACAACACAACTCCCTCACTTCAGGGACTCACCGAGCGGACCGGATGTGTATAGCAGACCGTGGGGGGGGTTGGCTGATGGTTCTTGGGTTCTTGGGCTTTTCTTGGCTGTATGACCAGCAGTCAAGTACTAAGATGTCTCCGTGTTCGTTCCCCAGTCGTTCTCCCGACCGTAGAGACACCGACACAAAGGCGACGGTGAGAACAACATGACCCGGTCGGTCGTTGGTCGGATCGAAGCTTCGGCATCGAACAGACTTCCAGGGGGTAAATGTTGATAGCTGGTGAACATTGGTTAACCATGGTTAACCTGGTTTCAGGTTTGGAAGACAAACACGTAGACTACTGACGTTGGGGTTCTACTCCTGACTGAGATGGGATCCTGCTTGTAAGCCTCTAGACTTCTCCCAAAGGGCAGTTAGAATGACCGACTGGACTTCCAGCGACTTTCAGTGACTGGACCGAGCAGTGACTGAGCACTTCTTCAGAGCACGTGCGGAGCTTCGAAGACATGGACCGCATTATTAAAAAAAGGAACATCTAAGACATGGCCTCCAACTCCTAAGGAGCGATTGACTTGAATCAGTTCGAAGACTTTGGACGACTGGAACCTCGGATGTGAGAGGATAGGTTTTCCGGCAACATCACCCCAGATCCACCCTTCACAAGAGCCATCGGTCAACAAAAGCATCATAGAGCATCACTGTTTTAGAGGAAGGCGTGCAACCTAACCATCATCATCCACTGTTGCAAGGAATAGGACCCAAGATATACAGTGCAGATATGTGCAGCAATGTTTATTTATTTTGTATATTGGAGGAAACAATTTTGCCAAAGAAGGTGAGCCAAATCAATTGGGAGGAGTTCATTAAACTAGGGGACACCAATGTAAGCCTGCAACAAAGCCCAACAATGAGGATCAAACAGATAATGACATATAACGAAAGGGAAGCCTTATAGACCTATACTGTAAGCAAACCCACGGCCAAACCAGCTTCAACCCTCCGAAAATTCAGCGAAGGGGCTTCCCGTGGGCGAGTTCCAAAGACGGCGGCCGTATCAGCGCTTGGAGCACGACACGTCGTCACGTCGTCGGGCGGAGAGTCGCGCACAGCAAATGCCAGGCGGGGTTGCCAAGAACTCATGCAGGATGTACACTCATTGGATGAGTATTGGTCATTAGTATACACTCATGAGTATATATATATATATATTGGATGAATCTATACACTCATTGAATGACCTGTACACTCAACCAATTGTCAATTTCCATGAGCATCTCAGGGAGTGTAGGAAGTGGCCCCAAGGCATACGAAGGACGGCAGAATCCAGACGGGTGGCATCACTGGGATTGGAGCCTTCCATCAGTCACCATGCTTGTGAGGGGAGAAGATGGTTGTGAGGATCCATAGACAGATGCGTGTTAGTAAAAAGATGTAACAAGTATATATAAATTACTATATCCACACAGTGTGTGCCGCAGGATTTGCAACAGAGGTGGCAGTAGCCACCGTGGAAGAACTCAGAGGTGGTGTTTTTCAGGCCTGAATTGCTCTCAATCATCATCCACTTCAAGCGTCTGGGGTCCAATTTCGGGCTTCGGACCTCTGGCTAGCACCAAACCGCCAATGGCGAAGTCGACTCCGCCGCCACCGAAAGCCTCCCAACCTTTGTATAGCGCCGTCGGGGACTTTGGTCAGCATCAAGCGGGGAGACAGCAGATGCCACCCTGTGAGAGCCATGGCAACCCGTAGCCCGGAGGTCAGCCACTGAGCTACCACAGCACTTTCTGCTTCTTCGATGTTCCGTCGATCGCGCGCAGGGCACCGGCCCTTCTCGCGGCGGCAACGGGATGGAATGGAAGGAAGATCATGGAAGGAGGTGTACAGTGTACAGATTATACACTCTGGAAGATTAACATGCAAGATGAAAACCATTGCATTGGGTTGTAGAGGAAAAGAGTCATTCCCAAAGGTCCATTTTCAGGTTCCATGTCAATCTTTCTGGGTGTCAACGAGGGCGTCGGAAGACGCCAACCGGAGCAGACTGCAAGGGCGGACTGGGGATGATATGATCAGACTTGTGCGGTAGACATGGTTTCAAGAGCTGGGAAAATTGATGTGTATTGTTTATTTATTTATTTAGACCTTTTTTTTATCCTTTGTAACCTTTTATATACTATAGACCCTTTTTTGTCTGAACTGAGTGGTCGAAAAAAACGGACAGTCTGCCATCTGGCAAGATGAGCAAGCTGGTGCGGGTCGAGGGGGAGGTGGCTCAGGTCGAGGGTATCCACATGTATCCACATATCTACAGGGAGCTGGTTTGAACGTTGCACAGCTGCTAGATCTAGCTATGCATCATGCAGTGTTCAGATCCCTGGTTCTTCAAAGTGTATCCAGGTTGCGAAACGGTCACTTATAGCTGTAGGCCGGCACAGGCCAGTCACTTAGTCCAAGAACTCCAAAGTTTGGTCACGAACTGAAGAAGCTGGTTGACACGGATCTTCATCTCATCATCTCTCCACAAGACTCCGGGCTCCTTCACCAACAGATACCCAGACACTCCATGTATGGAATATGCCTATATCAGTTGGGGAGGTGGTGCCAGGGGGGTCTGTCTGGGGCGGCTGTGCGTCCTGGCAGTCCCAGACAGGTCGTGTTTGGGATAGGGTGATAGGACTTTGGCCCCGGACCGAAACGTGTTTCGTGCTGCTCTCGGTGGAGGTCCGACACCGGTTGCCGGGGGCACCCGTCACGCTCGGAGTCTTGCTCGGGCTCCACACACCAATGGTCGGGCTCCTCAAGGATCCGAGTCCGGACCCTTAGAAGGGGTCGAAGCCTCTAGTTCACAAGGGGTGGTACCCGAACCAAACCCTTAAAGGGTGCGGATCCGGTTCCCACCATTTCCCACACGTCCATTCTTCTTCGGGGGCTTGGGGCCTGTCACCGCCCGCGTCCGTCATTGCTGCTCCCTTTCTTTCGGGGCTTGGGCCACGAACTTCAACCGTCCAGAAGGGCGTGGGTCCGCGGCCGTCAAGCCTCACAAAACCGCCTGTCTCTGTGCGGAGCAAAAAGACAAAGGGGCGAAGAGGAGCAGGTTGGTCGGGGACGAGACAGAAAGGTTGGGGACGAGTGGTAGGACACCAAACGCGCTGGAAAGTCCTCAAAATGGACGGACTGATATGACTCATGACATCTCATGACTGACA